CTAATTTACCGAGTACCTACTACCTCCCACTAGCATAGGTACCGGATAACCATATCCACCAAAGCTTAGACACATAGAAGAAATCACATAGTATTCTTTTGCCTTAGCTGGAGCTTGAATCTTAGTCTCCCATGATTGTTTCGACTTCATTGATTGATAGGCCGTGCCATTGGGAGCCAACAAGTTAGTCTTAATAATAAGTCTTTTCTAAAGCCCCACTGGTTACATATTGTCTTATATTTACCGATCCCGTTTAAGCACCATAGCAGCTGCGTCTGGATCTACTTGTAGACACCTCAACTGATTTACCAAGTGCCTACTACCTCCCACTAGCATAGGTACTGGATAATAATATCCACCAAGGCTTAGACGCATAGAAAAAGAACAACAACATACCCCGTATAATCCCACGAGTAGGATAGACACATAGAAGAAATCACCTAATAGTCTTTTGCCTCAGCTGGAACTTGAATCCTGGTCTTCCATGATTGCTCCGGCTTCATTGACTGATAGGCCATGCCATTGGGTGCCAACAAGTTGGTCTTAGTAAGTGTTTTCTAAAGACCCCTACTTACCTTTTGTCTTATATTTATCGATCTCGTTTAAGTTGCTAAAGAGTGCATCAATTAGAAGAACGTTGCTGGAGACAACAAAGAACAGAAAAAGTGGTGTCACTTTGTAGATTGGGAACTTTCTAATTCTTGTATAGATGCGCCTAGGGTAAGGGATGTTAAGATTTATAATGATGCTCTATTGAGGATATGGTTTGGAGGTTCTGGATGAAAAGCAAGATTACCCGCAAGGATTATGGTTCAAGTAGATGGAGTAATTGAATCAACATCCGTCTTTATGATACTACAGGAGGACTTCTCCAAGAAGATGAAATTTAAGGTAGGAGATGCTAGAATTATCATCTTATGGAATAAAATTGGTACATTTTTAGCACATCAAAACAAAATTGTGACAAAATTTTGCATCAAATCCTTGTATATGGACTCTATGTTTGGAGTTTGAACAACTCCCTGAAATGCTATTTGACTTTGAAAACTCGAGAATAAGAAGGAAATTTGTGTTGGTTGGTTTTTGTGGGTAAAAAGACAGGACGTCCGACGTTGTCATCCACATATTTGTAGCTTAATTGAAGCCAACATAAAGATCGAGGTGGGAAATGGTAGACATACAAGGTTTTGGCAAGATACTTGGATACTCACCTCTAAAGATAAAATATCAGGACCTATATAGCTTCACCTCTAATAAAGATAACTTGGTCTCAGACTGTTGGAATACTAGCTGCTGGTGTATTAGTTTTAGAAGGAATTTTTTTATTGGGAGGATACCTGGAATGTCTCTTTTGTTGGAAGATTTGAACCTGGTGGCATTAAGTGGTGAGGTTCTGACTTTACTTTCTGGATCAGGCAAAGAATGGCAGCTTCTCTGTCTATTCTTCTACAAAACAATTAACAGTAGGGGCAGCCCCTTTAGCTAAACATGGAATTACTTGCTAGGTCCAAGTCCCCTTCCAAAAGTTGTTGCTTTATGTGCTTGATTACGCATGAGTCATTGCCTGACTGAAGCAAACTACAGAGAGTGTCATTATGCAGGTATTTTATGTATAACAATGAAGAGGAAAACCGCAGTCATCTCTTTCTACATGCCAAAATCTGATCATTATCGTTTACCCTAATCAAGATCCTATATGCCATACCTCATACAGTGAGGGAGTGAGGCAGCTCCTTACCATCTATGGTGTTCGCGTGTTGCAGGAATAAGGAAATTTTATGACGAGGATTTGGAAATCAGTACTAGCTTGTGTTCCTTGGGTATTGTGGAAGGAAAGCAATGCGAGATCTTTCGAAGGAAAAGTAGAAACTATACAGAAGATAAAGTTAAGATGCTTATAGCTTTTGTCTTTTTGGCGTAATCTTTAGGATTTTAAAGGTGAAAATAGTGAGAATTTCTATTATCCAAATTCCAATTGGATCTAAGATTTTGGAATGTCATTCTTCTTTATGGACCTTATAATGGTTGTATACATTTTTAAAAAGACCCCTCTGGGGTTAGTAAAATACAATATCACAAACATTGGTATTTCAACTTGCCCCCAGGACTTTGTTTCAGTGGTAAGGATGCGGCGCGCGATGAGCGAGTTAGCCGCACGTCACATGTTTGAATTTTTGTCGATAAAATCTGATATCAAGTTTGAAGGAGGGTATAGGAGGGCATACTCCCAAAAGGAACCCGGAAGTCATGCTTCTTGAATTCAAAATTAATGATTCAACCTTTAAGAAATATAGATAATCATCAAGTCCATCCCATAAGCTTTCTAACAGTTCTCCAACATTGACGGACTCTATTCTGCTACTTGATCTTCCTTGAGTAAAAAAAATTTTCTAAGGAAGAGGGATGCTCTTGACGGCTAAAAATCTAAGGAAGAGGAATGTTACTTGTGTCACATGGCACTTTTTGGGCAAGGGCTCGCGTGAAGATGTCGACCATCTCCTCAAACATACTTCGGTAGCTTTGAAGCTATGGTGAGAAATCCTCAGATGGTTCAGATACTTTGAGTGATGTCAGAACAGGGGAAAAAGTAATGTATTGTTGGAATTGTGGTAGAAGATGGAGAAGACGTAGGGTTTAGAATGTTGCCCCGCTAGCACTTATGTGAGTCGTTTGGAGAGAAAAAAATAGGAGAGATTTTGAAGGTGTAGAGATGAATTTTGTAAATCGAGGAGTAGCCTCTTATCGCTTATACCTTTTTGGTGCACTCACGAAGTTCCTTTATGTATTAAAAACTGGGTGTCGTTTATAGAAAACCATATCTTTTTGTAGGCTTTCTACATTTTGGTATACTTGTAAAAACGAGCATTTTTTGGCCCAAACATTTATAAAAATTTATTACTTTATCAATTAATAATCTACATCTGAATCAGAAATACAACAACCACGACCCAGTAAAATCCCACTAGTGGGGTATGGGGAGGGTAGTGTGTATGCAGGCCTTACCCCTACCCCGAGGGAGTAGAGAGGTAATAAACAAAGGAGATGCTCTAGCAAGATTTCTGAATCAGAAATCTTGAACGATTTTTCTGAGCTCGATTGACATGTTTTTACCCCATATATCTGCCTCAAGCTTGTGCTTTGCACTTGATGACCTAGTAGACACGTTGAGATTTTCTATACTTTTCGCCTTTGGTAACACTATAATGTTCTTCTTGCCTTTCATGACATTTTTATATGTGTGTGCAGATCCTAGATGAGATGCCTGTCTTCTACAATCTGAGTACAATTGAAAAACGTGAAGTCCTGATTATCTTTCTGCAAATAGTACGCAACTTGGATGATGACTCACTTGTTAAAGCTTGGGAGCAGAGCATTGCACGGACCAGATTATTTTTCAAACTCTTTGAAGAGTGCTTGATGCATTTTGAGGTTAAAATATGTCTGAACTGCTACATCACTTAACATTCACAATACATTCAGCTTGAAGCTCGGATTTCATGATCATTTGGCAACCATGTTGTTGCATCTCTATAATGATGTCAATAGCCAAATAAAAAGATCTTTATAAGTTAGATGATAAAATTTTCTGAGATGCTACCCAAACTTAGTAGTCTCACATTAGAAAGTAGAAACATAACTTAGCTGGATGACATAAATTAGGTTTTTCGTGGAGAAGGACCCAGTGTGTCATTAGCAGTGGATTTTATCTGGTTTATTTGTCATTCTGGTCTTCCAAGAGAAACAGAATTCACTATGTCAAATGCCTTTTGTTATTTTCCTGATCAAACTGTAGAATGGTGATAATTGGACCTTCTAACAGTTATGAGTGCTTCAGGAACAAACTTAAACTACTATGGATGATGTATGAGAGAAAATGTGATCTGCTTCTAGATTAAAGGTTCTGTCGCGTTGCTAATTATTTTAATTATTCTAGAACAGAGCATATCATTGGAGCTTCGTGGGAATTAATTTCAACTGGGCAATTTTGCCGCTCTAGGATGCTGGTGTATGGTATTATTTGTCTGTTACTAGCCGGTTTGGCTCTGAGGCACTCATTTTGATTCTACATATTTTGCAGCATAGGAAACCTGCTGATGGCATGCTTGTTGGTAGTAGTTCTCGTAGTGTGATAGGGGATGGACCTGCATCCCCAAAATATTCTGACAGACTTTCACCTGCAATAAATCATTATATGTCTGAAGCAGCGCGGCAAGAAGTCAGAGTACGTTAAAATACCACCCTCATCCTTTTTTGTGATAAAACTGTCTTCCTTTTCTCTATGCGGTGCTCAGTATCTAAGATCTATGCATCCTCAGGGAACTCCGGATAATGGTTATTTGTGGCAGAGAGTCAACTCCCAATTAAGCTCACCTAGTCAGCCATATTCTTTGAGAGAAGCGTTAGCTCAAGCCCAATCTTCCAGAATTGGAGCATCAGCGCTAGCATTAAGGGAATCTTTGCACCCAATCTTAAGGCAAAAGCTGGTATTCTTCTATGGGTTTTATTTGTATTACTTCCTAGATTGAGAAACCTTTGATTGCTCAATTATAATATTGATGCCTATCGCTAGTTAGAAGTCATGAACCTTGTGATTTTCATAACATACATACTCTGACTTTTACAAGAAGTACATTAGTCTCTGTTACTTAATGGTAAGATAATTTCAGGAACTTTGGGAAGAAAACCTGAGTGCTGCTGTTAGTCTTCAAGTTTTAGAAGTTTCCGAGAAGTTCTCGCGGACTGCTGCAACGAAGCGCATTGCTACTGATTATGGAAAACTTGACTGTATCACATCTATATTTATGAATGTGTTCTCACGTAATCAACCACTCTCCTTCTGGAAAGCTCTCTTTCCTGTCTTCAACAGTGTCTTTGAACTTCATGGAGCTACACTGATGGCAAGAGAAAATGATCGCTTCTTAAAGCAAATTGCTTTCCAAATTCTTCGGCTTGCAGTTTTCCGGAATGACAATATCAGGAAAAGGGCTGTAATTGGCCTGCAGTTACTTATTCGGGTAAGGCTTGTAGCTGAAGTTTGTGGACCAATGNATTGAGAAACCTTTGATTGTTCAATTATAATATTGATGCCTATCGCTAGTTAGAAGTCATGAACCTTGTGATTTTCATAACATACATACTCTGACCTTTACAAAAAGTACATTAGTCTCTGTCACTTAATGGTAATTTCAGGAACTTTGGGAAGAAAACCTGAGTGCTGCTGTTAGTCTTCAAGTTTTAGAAGTTTCCGAGAAGTTCTCGCGGACTGCTGCAACGAAGCGCATTGCTACTGATTATGGAAAACTTGACTGTATCACATCTATATTTATGAATGTGTTCTCACGTAATCAACCACTCTCCTTCTGGAAAGCTCTCTTTCCTGTCTTCAACAATGTCTTTGAACTTCATGGAGCTACACTGATGGCAAGAGAAAATGATCGCTTCTTAAAGCAAATTGCTTTCCAAATTCTTCGGCTTGCAGTTTTCCGGAATGACAATATCAGGAAAAGGGCTGTAATTGGCCTGCAGTTACTTATTCGGGTAAGGCTTGTAGCTGAAGTTTGTGGACCAATGTTCCTTTTCACTTTACTATTTTGAGTAATCTTTATCTATTGATTGCTAAACTTTGTTGAATGTTTCAATCTGCAGAGCTCGTTTTCTTGTTATATGCAGACGGGAAGATTAAGAGTCATGCTAACCATTACATTGTCAGAGTTAATGTCTGAAGTTCAAGTAACACAAATGAAACCTGATGGCACACTAGAAGAAAGTGGTGAAGCTCGTCGTCTTCGAAATTCTTTGGATGAAATGGCAGATGAAGCTAAGAGTTCCTCCTTATTATTAGAGTCTGGGCTCCCTGAAAATGCACTGGTTGCTGTTCCAGAAGGATCAACAGAAAACCGCTGGTCATGGTCTGAGGTTAAAGTTCTTTCTGACAGTCTTCTTATGGCTCTTGATGCCAGCCTGGAACATGCACTTCTGGTATGTGTTGACCTTTTTAATCACTGCTTTGATTCCAAATTACTACTATTATTCTGCAATGATATTTTGTCATTGACTCTCTTGAAATTCCCTTGCCACTACTATCTGTAGGGCTCTGTTATGAATGTCGATAGGTATGCAGCTGCAGAGAGCTTTTATAAACTAGCAATGGCATTTGCTCCTGTACCAGATCTTCACATAATGTGGTTACTGCATCTTTGTGATGCTCATCAGGAAATGCAGTCTTGGGCTGAAGCTGCTCAGTGCGCTGTTGCTGTTGCTGGTGTAGTGATGCAGGTATAACTTGATTGGATCACCTTTCCGTTTCTAGTGAGGGAAGGAGAAAGTAATCCTTATAAAAGACATCTTTTCGTTATTTGTTCCCAAGTTAGTGCCAAAAATCCTTTTTCAATCTATTTCCTTGTTAATTTAGGATACATAGCATATTTTTCTAGATCACTTGGACTGATCGTCCATTCCCTGAGCCGAGGGTCTTCAGAAACATCCTCTCTATCTTCACAAGGTAGAGGGGTAAGGTCAGCGTACGCACTACCCTCCCCAGACCCCACTTGTGGGATTACACTGGGTATATTGTTGTTGTAGGACTGATCTCCAATTTCCATGAAAATGGTCATGGATTTACGGCTTCACATCTTGAGGTCTCTTTTCTGCTAAAGCATTTAATGCTACTCAGCAATTACTTGATTTTTCTCTGTTGCAGAGAATTCAATCTTCTGCTGATCATATTAACCTCGTTGGTGTGATTTTTTCCTTTCTCGTGTATTCGCCTTTAGCAATACCATTTACTTCAAGTTAAAGGTACAAAATGAAACCAAAAAATATCTTCAACAATGCATGTTGGGGTCTTTATATTTTTGTTAGAGACTTGTGCAGAGATGTAGGGATAAGGTGGTTTGAAGAAACATCTCGTTTTAGAGAACTAGTACTAGTTTTCTTTAAAAGACAAATATTTAGTATTTGAATGAAATAGATCGGAATGAAAAAAAACAATAGTTGATTGACTGGTGCAACAAAATGTAATGATTTCTCTGATCACTTCTATTGATACTTTTTGCATGAAAAACTTGTATTAAGCACTTGATAAAAATGCAATATATGTGTTTTAGTTTATCAACAACTCTACTCTTGATGCATTTCGAACCTAGATTCATCCTGGTTCTTTACATGCTAATCTGTAAAGCCTATATTGCTCAAAACCTTTTTGGAGTTGCCATTTGCCTCTGCTATTCAGAGAGCTAGATTTCATGAAAGATCAAGTCATCTACTTGGTCATTGGTCTAGGAGAGACCTAAAATCAGTGACTTCTTAGAGTTGAGAAGGCCTTGTTCATCTGGTCGGAATGGTTGCATTATGTGCACAAATAATAAGGTCTATTCTCATTTATTTCAAGAATTATCCTTTTCCAAAAGAATTAGGGAGATATCTAGGCTACCTGAGTGATTCTATATGACTCCTTTTTCTCTTGGTGAAGTTTATCTGTTTAACTAAAATTTTGCCTATATGAAGAATGGTAAGTTTTTCAAAAAGAAGTGCTTGATTGATTATGATCTGGTGTTTTTATATATGGCATGGCGCTAGAGAATGTTCCAAGGTCAGTTTATATCCGAACATTTTTGAAATATAATATTATATCTGGTGTAGGCAGTAGGCCTATTCATGACATCCCCTTTATCGATCCTCACCGAGATTGGAGGGTTTTCTCAATTTGATGCTGCTCTGAACAGGTTCTCAAGTTATTTCCCAGAAAGAGACATTACTTACTGACTTCTTTGTATGTGCTGTGTAAAGCTGTCCTTGTTTTGTTGCTGTTATTATTGCCGTGACTTAGGGCCATGTTAAACACTGTGGAATGAATAAGATGAACTGGAATGGAGCATTATCTAATTTTCGGTGTACAACATGAAACATCTTGAAATATTCTATATCTTTACTGGAAGCAAAAATCTGTCTAGGCAATAGCAACGAGTTGAGATTTGCATTAGGTTTGGTGTTTGATAGAAGTATCTTTAGTTTGTTTGGAGATTATATGTCAGTGCAGGGATAAGTGTGAGACTTAAAGAATCTCTAGTTTTAGAGAACCATTATTTATCCTAAAAGATAAGTTGTTGAGTGTTAGAGAAAAAGAGGGGCAGCACGGTGCGCAAAGCATCCTGCATTCACGCAGAGTCCGGGGAAGGATCGCACTCCAAGGGGTGTAATGCAGACAACCTACCCTAATACAAGCATCAGTGGCTGCTTCCACGGCTCGAACTCATGACCTATATGTCACACGGAGACAACTTTACCATTGCTCCAAGGCTTCCCTTCAAGCTATTGAGTGTTAGCGAAATAGGCATAAATGATGGGGAGTAGTTATTTAGAATTCATACAGCCGAGCCGATTAGTTTAGGATTGACAAATGGTTATGTGTATAGGCTCGAGTTTCTTATGACTAGATTTCTTCCCTGCGGATGTGCTTGAAGTCATCAGCTGGTACCGCCTGTTGCCTTTGTTCATCGGTCACTATTGACGCTTGTGATTACAGTTAACCTAGTTTTCGTAGATCCAAAACTGGTACTAAATGTTATGGTGTTAGATATTGCGGCGCTTGAACTTAACCTACTAGGTCTTCGATCAACATTGCGTTTTAATTTTTAGAAGTTAAAACATGACAAGATATGTGTTGATCAGTGATGCTGACATGAATCTGTACCACTCTCTCCAGGCCCTTGTGAGTAGAAATGATGGTGTCTGGAGCAAGGATCATGTGAGTGCATTGCGCAAAATATGCCCCATGGTCAGCAGTGAGATCACTTCTGAGGCCTCAGCAGCTGAGGTGGAGGGATATGGTTCTTCAAAACTCACAGTTGACTCGGCTGTAAAGTATTTACAGCTTGCAAATAAGCTTTTCTCTCAGGCTGAGTTATTCCATTTCTGTGCAAGCATTCTAGAACTTGTAATTCCAGTATATAAAAGCAGAAAGGCATATGGACAGCTTGCGAAATGCCACACAATGCTTACTAATATCTATGAATCCATCCTTGAGCAGGAATCAAGCCCTATACCTTTCACAGATGCCACATATTATAGAGTAGGATTTTACGGTGAGAAGTTTGGGAAGCTGGATAGGAAAGAATATGTTTATAGAGAGCCTCGTGATGTGCGATTAGGTGATATAATGGAGAAATTGAGCCATATCTATGAGTCGAGAATGGACGGAACTACATTACATGTAATTCCTGATTCTAGACAAGTCAAAGCAGATGAGTTGCAGACTGGAGTCTGCTACCTGCAAATAACTGCAGTCGATCCAGTANGGAGTCTGCTACCTACAAATAACTGCAGTCGATCCAGTCATGGAGGATGAAGATTTAGGAAGCAGAAGGGAAAGAATATTCTCTCTCTCTACGGGAAGTGTCCGTGCTCGAGTCTTTGATCGGTTTTTGTTTGATACCCCTTTTACTAAAAATGGAAAAACCCAAGGAGGCTTGGAAGACCAATGGAAGCGGCGAACAGTTCTGCAAACTGAGGGATCTTTTCCAGCGCTAGTGAACCGACTCGTGGTTATCAGATCAGAATCTCTTGAGTTCTCCCCGGTTGAGAACGCTATTGGAATGATTGAAACTAGGACAGCTGCATTAAGGAACGAACTTGAAGAGCCTCGAAGTTCAGAAGGCGATCAACTTCCCCGTTTGCAGAGCTTACAGAGGATTCTTCAAGGTTCTGTTGCAGTTCAAGTGAGTGTTATATCTTTGTATATTCTCTATAGTTGTAATAAATCACCTGATTCTTGTCAATTATTCCTGATATTGCAAATTTTATGCATTTAAAGAGCTTACCTTCAGCTGCTCCCTAGTCTAGAACTTGTCCAACAGTGCATTTCATGTTACTTTCGATCTGGTTTACCTGTTGGAGTTTGCTTATCTAAGTACAAATAAAACTTTTACAGGTTAACAGTGGAGTCCTCAGCGTCTGCACAGCTTTCCTTTCTGGTGAACCTGCAACTAGGTTACGTTCGCAGGAGCTACAACAACTTATTGCTGCTCTTCTTGAATTTATGGCTGTGTGCAAACGTGCTATTCGGGTACACTTTAGGTTGATCGGGGAAGAAGATCAGGATTTTCATACTCAGCTTGTAAATGGGTTCCAGTCTCTCACTGCAGAACTATCACATTATATTCCTGCAATTCTTTCAGAGCTGTAGAAGTAATTTTAATTGATATCCTTAGTGTTTTTTTGTATGTTAGTCTGTGTTCCTCCTATGATCTGTTTATATTATTTGTAAGATTTGGTTTCTCTTCAGGTTGGTCTTTGTTCATAAATTAGTCATTGGATCTCCATCTTTGTATTTATTCATCCCTTTGCCTTCAACCATACATCATCTGTTCTATGATTCTCAATTAATAAGCTATTTGTAGAAACTCTCCAGCTCCTTCATCCTGAAACTATGACTGAACTCAGCAATCTGTTCTATGATTCTCAATTAATAGGCTATTGATTGAACTATGCGTGCACCTTTACGAGCCATCAAAGATGAAAGAACGCCGTTTATGGGACAATTCTCCCCTATAATTACCCAACATAACGATTGTTTGGGACTAATTTTTGCATGTTTGGTTTGTTAAGAATAGTTTGATGTCGCTAGTTCAACTGTCCCTCGGAGACACTGTCGAGTCTCATGACGAAGCAACTGTTGATATTGAAGCAACTAGCACGTCTCTGAACATACCTATTGACCAGAAGTACAGAGTAAGCAAAGCTACGAATTCCTCAAGAAAGTTGAGTACTAGAAAATATTCTAGGATACATACTTTAGACAAATCATTCTATTTTGATTTCTTACGAAAAGTCAACTACGTTATATTCTTTTATCTTCCATTTGGGAGTACCCTACTTGTGATGAGAACAGATTGGGTGGTGCGGGTGCGGGGCGGGTTTGATCTTATACAGGGCGAGAGTGGGGCGGGTTGAAACTGATTTTTCAAAATCTAATGCGGGGTGGGGTGGGGCGGTTGCGGGTTTTATTGCGGTTCCTTGCGGGTTTACTCCGGAAATCACTATGGACTGCACAAATAAGGCAAAAAAATAGTGAGTAAAATTCTCTGTGACATTGGTACTTTTTTGCACTAAATTTATAAGTGATTGAATCAACTTTATTTTCCATTTGTCTTGTTGTTAGGTATCATATGGTGGCCTACAAGAGGGGAGATCCGTATTATGTCCTTACAAAGGTTCTTTTAATTATATACATATGGTCTTTTTCTTGTATTTAAATAGTAACTGGTTAGGAGATAATTCCTACTGAAAACGGAAAAAAGAAAAATACTATAAAATCAAGCAGAAAGTATATGTTCACACTTCGCATATATAAGCTTACATATTATATTATTAACTAGTTATAAAAAAATTATGGTGCATATTTGTTATACGGAAATTTAACAAGTACAAGTTAATACGTAAATTTAGGTATACAATATGTTGATGTTACGCTTTTCAACGCGTTTATTTTCTAGCTTTTACGCTTTTCAATTAAGTTATATTTTCTATTATAATTTCTGAAAATAAAAATATAATAGTTGGATATGAGGGATTTAAGAAACTTAAAAAAATTAATATATTAAACTTGTGCCTTTTCAGCAAAAATAACAAATGAAAAAAAAAATGCGGGGTGGGTCTTTGTGGGGCAGTGCGGGTGGGTTGAAAATAGAAAAAACTGCTATGCGGGGCAGGGCGGGTTGAAATTTTACGGGTTAAGTTCAAACCCGCCCTGCCCCGTCCCATTGCCATTCCTACCGAGTTGGGTACTTAGTTTCGGTCTAATATTTTCTTATCGGACTAAATCGGTCCCGATCCACCGCTTACTGAATATGAATCGAGAAAAATATGAACCGAATCGGGTTTGACCGCGCCAGAACCGAGTTAGCCTAGTCCGTTAGGCACCTATACTTCTAACAACTCACAAATAATGGAGCCACGAGATATTAAATAAAGAAAGAATTACAAGAAAATACACATGACTTCACACCATAACAAAAAATGGCCCATGTTTTTTAAGTATTACCCAACCTAGCCCATATTGTACATATTTTGAAGAAATTTTTACCTCCTATAGCAAAGGTTAACACCTTATTTATTTTAAATAAATACCATTTAAAAATATTATATTATATAGATACCTTTTAAGATTTATAGCAAAATATTTAATTTTGGTTACCTCCTAGCCCTAAGCTACTAATACGTTATTCGGTTACACTATTTTCTTTTTCTCTCTACTTTGATACATCACATTCTCTTCTCCCAATTCCTCACACTCATACTATTTTCTTTTCATTCCGATCTACATAAAATCTCAATCAAGCTTTTCATTCCAACGCGGCGGCGTGTGTAATTTTCTGCAGACGCTATGTCGGAATGGGAAGCTCTACTGCCGCTATTCAAGCAGAAATCATGGTCTCCCGATATGCTTCAAGAAGAAGCCTGGCTCAACCGAAAAGGAAATTACTGCACGAAGCTCGCCGACCGTCGCCGATCGAAGAGCGTCACCGACAATGACCTAGAACAGCTTCGTGCTTGCTTTGACTTAGGTTTCGGGTTCGATTCGCTCGATTTGGATTCGAAACTCACCGAAACTTTTCCTGCTTTGGAGCTATATCAAGATGTGAACAAGCAGTACAGTAATACATTATCTAGAACAAAGACGGCGGAGTTTGGGGCTGAGCAACTTATTTTCTGTTAATATATTTCAATGTATTTTTATGTATTTCATTGTATCTCGTTGTATTCCATGTATTTCATTATATTCACTGTCTTTTTTTCATTGTATTTCAATGTATCCCGCTGTATTCTATGTATTTCATTGTATTTACTGTCTCGCTATATGTCATGAATGTATTCATATGTTTTTTTAATTAATATAACTTATGTATTCAGATGTATTATATAATTTCTCTGAAGATTGCTATATTTTTGGGGTATTTTTCGGTTGAGAATCTTTTTTATTACTGAAAATACAAAATTTGTGTGCTATAATTGAGTTTGTTGAGTTATATTAGGAGTCTATTATGTTAAATTATTCACTTTCCGTTTTAAAAACAGTGTAATCCCATGTTTCACGCCGTCGAATACAATAATCTGTCCAGTTGTAATCCCATGTTTCACTCCATGAATACAGTCGAATACAACAACTGATTAGCTAGACTTCCCTGATTCACGCCTATTTTTGCTACTGTATTCATGAATACAATAGCTTAAATACATCACATACATCTTATAACCACATAAAAGGTATCTATAATCCGTAATATAGCAAATGGTATCTATAGATGGCTAATTACTACTAAAAGATAGTGTTTTATGAAAATTTCTCTATTTTGAAAGCACTAGCAAATTCAAAACTTGTGTTCTTACAACCATTGCTTCTAAAAGATATGGAGTTAAATATGTGTTCTCACAACCATTGCTTTCACTCTCTCTTCTTCTCACATCTTCTACATATACTTCAAAGGGTTGTCCGCCATTGTTGCTTCTTACCCTGTGTCACCTGGCTGCAATGTAAGAAAATTAAAAAGTAGAAGTGATGTTTTATACGTAAATACCACACAAGAGGGGGGTGATTTGTGTGGTGACCATTTTTTCGCTTAAACTGTTTGTGGAAGGACCTGGTTCTTCTATGTGTTCCAACTACTACTGTTGCGGAATAATAAATATAGAAAGTAAAGAACACAAGTATTTTTACGTGGAAAACACCCGGCTCAAAAGGTAAACAAAACCACGACCTACTACTCAGTAGGATTTTCCCCAACACTTCACTAAATCACTGAGCCAAAACAACATTTACAAAACTCTTTGTAAACCTAAGGATTAACTCTAATCCCGTTGTAGCAACCAACCTCTAACTGTTGAGACAACTTCAAGTTAACTTTAACTTGAATACTCAAAGTACCTATTACAATTGCTTCTAGATAAAGATGAAAAGTACAATATGAAAACACCTACTACAATTGAACTAGAAATAAAGAAAGACACATAAAACTCTTTATGGAGCTGGTTCTTCAATCTGGTTCATGTAGCTTCAGGTTTGCACACTTGAATTATACACGAACTGCTTGCAAAAAGCCTTGCTATTTTGCTCTCAATTTACATTTAACTTTTGCGTTTTTGTGCAACACTGTAATGTGAGAACATCCTGCAATTTATAGAGTTAGTAGATGAAGAAATAACAAGAGTTCTGATGCAACTCTTCCTTGGTGGAAGAGTTCTAGTTGATTTCAACTTCTAACTCCTTCCCTATCTTGAATTGTGTTCTCTTTGATTAAGGATTCCTTCTCCTTATCAATTATGCAACCTTTTCGATCAAGAAATATTAAATACACCAAGTTAAGCTTATCTCCTTCACGTGCATCCCACATACTCGAATTTGCCCGTTTTTGTGAACCTGATGGATGGACTGGTTCATCCTGAGTTCCTTTATCAGTCTTCAAAACTAACCTTTACTTGGGCCAACAAGAAGTCCACCATTGAAGGCCATTTAAAGCTTTGCTTTCGAAAATAGGATTTTTTGAGTTTGTTAGTTGTTTGGATTGGGTGTTGTTCCAATTGATTGAAAATATCAAAAGGAGTTCAAAATTTAAATTTGAAGTGATTTGGAGTAGATTTGAGTTAAATTTTAGAAAAGACGCAAGGAAGAAGACGAAGTCAGTTTTTTGTATAATTATGTATAATCGTGTATAATAGTGTATATATGAGTGTACAAACACATGTTATACACTATTATACACTTTTATACACCTTTATACAAGCGTCTGTAGATGGACTTCTTCCACGATTTTCAGTCGCAATTTTTGTTCAAAACCAGTCCAAATCTCCATTAAATGACTTCAAAATTTATATACAACCTCTTTATACTATTTTTAACAAGTTTATATAACATCCACTCCAAATTTCTCACAAAATCAAATTCGAAATTTAAAACCCACATGCTTAAGCTTGTTAAAAATTTAATTTTCACCATCCAAATGGATTTGGTTTGTTGAACTAATATTTGAATCACAGTTACTGATTCGAAAATTAACTTAAAAACTTGAACAATCTTTTTTAAAAATTAAATAGTAATTTCTAGAATCTATTGGAGTTGGATATTGAATCTTAGCCTATTATTTTTGGGCTAATTGGTTGTAAATTGAAATATGGGCTACAAAATTAAAAAGCAAGGAGCTCAGTTGTTCTTATGTGAAATTTTCCCTTAAATAAAAGAAAGCATCATAAGTACACAATTTTAAAATTTTTTAAAAAATGAAATTGTGCATCAACTTGACGTCTTCTTTTTAATTATTCAAGTTTATAGTTAAATTTAAACTTTTAAAAATTCTAAACCATT